ATAAAAAACAAAAAAACCATGCAAAGAATCATTGTAGCAATCAATAATATTTTAAAGAAAAAAATTATAAAATTAAATTCTCAATTAGCTCAATATTAAAAAAAATTGATAAATATAATTTTAAAAAATAAAAAATAAAATGAAAAAACAATGTGGGAAAACACGACAAAAATCCACAATATTTAAAAAAAATTACAAATCAAAATTTTTAACCAGCTCAATATTTAAAAAGTAAAATAAAAAATTAGAAAAAAAATCAATAAAAAAAAACATAGAAAATTTGAAAAACAAAACAATAAAAAAAGGAAAGTACAAAACTAAATTCTTAATCAACACAATATTAAAAACATAAAAAAAATATAATTTTACAAAATAAAAAAATAAAATAAAAAAACTATATGGGAATACATTGCAGAAATCTATAGTATTTTTTTTTTAAAAATTACAAAACAAAATTTCTAACCCATTCAATATTTAAAAAGTAAAATCAACAAAAAAAAAATTTTAGGGAAAAAATAAATGAAAAACAAAGAAAACATAGGAAAGTTAAAAAAAAAAAAGTAATTTTGAAAAAAAAAATAAAAAAGGGGAAAGTTGAAAAAAAAAAGAAGAAAAAATACAAAAAAAAGAAAAAGAAAAATATACTATAAATTAATGTTGTGAACCACGGTTTATTTGGGTGCGAGGAAGTAGTGATTTCCCCGCACCCTTTTGTGATATGTAAAATAATCAATTTTTGCCTTTAATGGTCAAACTAGGATGGTGCCTTTCTGTTTTGAACTGCTTGAATAATGGACTTAAGAATTGAGGTCTCAGAGGCCATACCAGTATTGTGCATTCCGTTATATTTTTTACCCTCCGCGCGTGATAAATGGAGCGCACCATGCTATACGCAAAACAACAGCAACAAAGCTTCTCTCTTCTTCTGTATTGATTGCTTTGCCCACAAAAACTCAGCAGACCAATCTCCCACCTGCTATTCACCCTGCATAATTGCAACGGCTGCCGCCATATCTTTCTTGCAATAGTACAAGTGAAGAAAAGATGATCATGATCCTTATTACCAATATTAAAGAAAACATTAAGAGTCGAATTAAGAACACTGTAGTTAAATTCTTGCAGTCATGATATAGCGATTATGTGGGTACAGATGCAGATTGCAGAGCCCCTTGAACGCAAGTTACTTCAGGATGGAAGCTGTCTCTGATCACTGTTGATCTGTGTTTTTTACAATAAATTGCGGCTTTGTTATAGCTTTCTCCGTAGCATGTACTGAAAACCCCAAAATGCCATTTTCATGCTAATTTTGTTTCAATAGAACTTAGAATGCAAGGAAACCATTGGTTTTCCCCGATCCAGAGGTTTTTACAGCAGCCTCACCTCAGATTTAGGACTTATAGTACAGATCTGGAGCCAAGAAGTGCCTCTTTTGGCTATAAAAGTTTGGTAACAATCCCCATTCTTTGGCTATGGATATCTCATTATCTGAAACAAAAGGGGGAGTCTTCTATGACTCTTGGCTGCAGAGGGATTTATGAAATTGCTTTACGTTTTCATTTTACACATGATTTAGTTATTCTTTTGAATTCAATTCGTCAGCAAAACTTCTGAAGTGGAAACACTTTAGAAGTGGGGTAAAAGAACATGGAAAAAGAAGTTTTGTATGGAAAGGTCCAGTAGCAAACATGCCATTTGGTTGTGGATCCTCCCAACTATTTCTCGTTTCTATCAGAGCATTTTTCTTTAAATCCTATACAGGGTAATTTAAGCAATTAACAAAGTATTACAAAAGAGAAACAAAGATTTAGGGATAAGGTCACTTTGCACATGGCTTTTGGCGGTCTGTGGTGACTGGTGAGGATCGCGTATCCGTGGGGCGCTGAAGAAAAAATTCTAAACTCTGTACGTACTTCAAGAAGGCACTGGTGATTACAGCATCAGATCATCTCCAAGTTCATTGATAACTTTCTCCACTTTCGATAGCATATCTGGCAACGAGAAAAGAAAAATTGTGACAAATAACCAAAATAGTTCCCTTAAAGAAAGTGTTTACTCAAGTGCAGATATCACTAGCTCTCCAACTTGGTTTCTTTGCAAGGGCTAGTCCAAGCAAATAATTGTAAGCTAATGGCGCTTAGCGAGCTCCAAACAAGATGAAAAAATGGGATACCGTTAGGATATTATAATAAACTAGCTTAGGATGCTAATAAGCTTAAGTGGGGAGGACCAACAAGTATTATCAGAGCAAACTTCCTTATGCATGCTGCAATAATATGAATGGACGCGTGCCTTGGAAACTGGGAGCTCATAGAAGATAGATTCTAATTTGAGCACACTGAGAATTTAACTTACCTTGGAAGGAAGAATCCTCCATGTATTTCTGCAAGAAAGCAAGATTATTATCATAATCACTGTGGTGTATCGTATAACAGTGAGAACAGGAAATGATTATTATCATTATTATTTTGAAAGTGTCAAAAGTGTTTCGTCCATTCCAAGTCAAGATAAGTTCCAAAGCACCACATCTATTTCTAGCAACTAGGCATTCATATAGACGTGACAAAAAGTAAGAGAGAGCTACCATAATTTGGGATTTGAGATCGATTTCATGAGATGAACTTGGCTGGCCTGCAGAGAGAGCATTTCAGGCAAGGGAAAAAAACATCAGTGAATAGATTAATGAACGAAAATCATCAAATTACATCAGTGACAGCCTGTATACCTTGTTTGACCTCAGAACAGCAGTCGAGCAGTAATGATGTAAAGCTGGGAGGCATGGGTGGAGAAATTCCTTCATTGTTGTGATTCAGAGATTTTTCCGTACTCCATGATGCTTGTTCAGCTTCCTTGTTCCAACTCAGTTGAAGTTGAGGAGAATAATCTTGAACAGGACCCATCGTGCTCGATTCCTCCTCCACCCAAACTCTACAGACAGTAAAGTTTGTAAATCTTCAGCGGAGTTGATCAATCAAGTTAGGCAATGAGATACCTAGGTTTGTATCCATCAGTAGGCATGAACACAGATTGTGACGAAATCGCTGATTGAAAGTCGCTATCCAGACGTTCAGTTTCAATTGGATCCTCCAGGATAACCTGAAAACACAACCCCAAAAAGAAAAAAATCAGCATTTCAAGGAGAGGAACTTAGCCATGAGCTTCATGATTTATTAACAACAATGATTTAAAATATCTTAACCGCCACCTTCAAAGCATTTATAAACGCTTCTGCTTCTGAAAAAGTTGAAAATCGAAAGCCAAACTTCTGGATCTGCAAACATGTGAAAGTTGAGCTACATTTTGACTTCAATTTCTATTCATGACAGAAAAAATCGAATATAATGTTACCTACCTCGTCAAGAGAATCCTTGAAGGTCACAAAGACAGCTCTGGTGCCCCTTGAAGGATATCCAGAAACGCACGAAACCTGAGGCCATGAGAAATGCAGCTTCCAAACATAGTGCTCTTCCTGCACCACCAAATTCAATTCATATTAAAAAAAATCTGCAAATAATCCAAAAATAAACCAAATTATTCGATACTTTTAATCGATTGCTTCTAAAGGAAGAGTAAATACTACTGACAAGGACGGTGCCGTTTAAAGAGAGCTCGATGATGGCGTCTTTGGAGTTGGATTGGTAGTTGAGGAGCTGGAGAGAGGCGGTAGCAGAGACGGAGGAGATCCAGGTGCCTCGGGTTGGGCGGTGCTTCCGATTGTGAGGGAGAGGAATGAGAGACGGACACGTGGAAGGCAGAGAAGGATAGTTGATGAATCGAGAGAAAGTCACCTGCCATTGGTCTGTAGGAATGGCGGAGGGCACTCTTTGCTCTTCTTCACCACCTTCATGACCTCTTATTGCTAGAGAAGATCCTGCCTCCATGTTTTTCATTCTCTTTTCTTCGTCCCCGCGCTTCTTCTTCTTCTTTTTCAAATTAAGGGAGGGAAACCGGAGATGGTTGTTTGTTTCGTTTATTTTTTTCAAAAAAATATATTTACTACTTATAAACTACCAGGAAGTTCTCTTCCGCGCCTGATTTTTTCGTTTATTTTTTTCAAAAAAAAATATTTACTACTTATAAACTACCAGGAAGTTCTCTTCCGTGCCTGATTTTTTTTGTACCGGCTGGAACGGCCCGTTATTATTAGCTCTTGATGACATGTCGTTTCTTAAAAATTAAAAACAGAAAGAAAATAAATAAATGATATGGAAATGCAAATGCAAATGCAAATATTTATAAAGAAAATAATATTAAATTAGTTATAACCAACATTAATTAAGAAATAAATAAATAAATAAATAAAATCAGTATAATTATTTAATTCATCTAGTAAAGTCTAGGAAATTAATTTACAATTTATTAATATATATATATATATAAAAGAAAAAATATTTACTTTTTCATAAATAAAAAAAAATAAAATAACTATAATTTAAAATGAACTTGGATTATTATATGCTATTAAGTTAATTCAAGAGTCATCATATAATTCTATATCAATTGTTTTTATTAGAATATTGATATTTTCTAAAATATATTTTATATCCTATATTATCAAATTTAAATTTATTAAATTAACTAAATGATAAATTAATTAAATTTAAGAGAGTCAATATTATTTTTAATTTAATTTAAAATTTAATCTAAAGCATGAATTTTTCAAATTTATCTGCAATGCTGGTTAAATTAATATATTTTTATATTTTTAGATTTTTTAATTATTTTAATATTAAAAATAAAAAAATTATTTTAATATATTTTTAATTAAAAATCAAAATTTAAAAACTTCACAAAACATCACCTCAAATTGTTTTCAGTCCGATTTAGCAAAACCTAGAAAGCCACGCCCAGATCGCATTTGAAGGCTCCACCTGTACATCATTAAATTAATATTATCGTTGAAATTAAGCACATCTCTGCAATTTTTTTATTGTTTGGCACAGTTGTTTGCATTTTTTAAATCAAACCACCCGCTCTTTGTAATTTCTCTTAATTTAATCATTTTTCTTTTAACTCTTTTTTAAAAAAGCAGTAAGGAAGGAAAAAAAAATAGACAACCATGAAATCTCTACTGAGTCCACAACCTTCTCTCCCAACTCACATCAACGAATCTCGAACCAATCTTTCGCGTTCAAAAGTCACTTCCTCTCTAAGATTCGATCGTGACCGTTGGATTGGACGGAAGAAGTGTGGTTTGACTTTGAGCGCCGTGTTGGACCCTGCAACAATTGGTCAATCTGGGATTTCAGAATCCGAATTCGTAAATCCAGCTGTTTCCACTTCCTATCGGAGCTCCAAGTTGCCGAAACCCAACCAGACGGTCCTTGATGCTCAAGCTAGGGTTTGCACTGGTCCCACCCAGACCAAGCCTCTCAACGAGGACCAGGCTTTTAAAGTTTTCGACACCATTTTAAGATCCGGTGAGTAATAATATTCTTTTCGCTCTCTCTCCCTCTCATTTTTCGTTTCTTTTTAAATATTTTTATTCAGTTTAATATGATTTTATAATTATTAATTTAAGTTAGCGTATTTAGATAGACTGAATTTTGTATTAATTTTTGTTAGCTAGAGGGGAATTAAAAGATGAAGAGCAAGTTTCGAAAGCGCAACTTGGGGCATTTTTTGCTGCGATGACAATTCGTGCGAATGCCTTTCCAGAAGCAACCCAATGGAGTGAAGGTGAGAAGCATGCAGTGAACAATTTTTGGCCCCACCTAGTTCGAGCGCTACCATCGGATGTAATCTTCATTGCCGACCCTGAAGGCTCAATAATGGGAGTTGGAAGTTCGATTGGGCCCCAATATGTTGGGAATGGTACGAGCGATATGAGATTGGTTGGAGCCCTTAGGGAGGTTTTGGCAGGTGGTCACCTTGGATATGAGGAAGTCCAAGGTGTTCTAAGAGATGTTCTTCCTTTTAAATTTGAAGATAAGAGGTGTTCATCTGGAGTTAGTGAGACGTTGCTTTCAGCTTTTTTGATTGGCCAGCGAATGAACAGGGAAACCGATCGTGAGTTGAAAGCATATTGCCTTGCATTTGATGATCAACTTGGTAGGTTTTGATTTAGTTATTTCACGTGCTGGATTTTAACTGATGAATGGTTTGAATTAGCCTATGTATCTTTTTCTTGTTTAATGCAATTCTCAGTTGGGCATTAGGTCTCGCACCAGTTGCTGATGTTAGATCATTGACTCATTACGGTGAACCTTACGATGGAAACACTCGTTTCTTTAGGAGCACATTGTTTGTTGCTGCTGTTAGATCCTGTTACGGCGAATCTTCCTTGCTTCATGGTGTGGATTGGATGCCACCTAAGGTCAGCCATCTGCTTATTAAATGTTGCAGTGTGTTTGGTTAAAATTAAAATTTATCTGGTCCCTAATTTTAAGGTGATGTTGATGATCTCTCCTGTGAATTTATGCTTCCAATTGCAAGTCCTTTTGGAAGTAACAATGAAAAAATGACTTGTTCTTAATATTTCTGATAGTGGCATATTCATTACTTGTAGTGGAAATTACTTCCAGTGAAACTTTTTTTTAACTTTTTTTTTCTTAGATGCTGAAAAAAGTATGGTAATACTATCTGCTTTCACAAGTTACGGAACTCACCACATCCCCTTTCTTGATTATTTGATTGGTCTAGTATTGTCTTTAGGGAGGCATAACAGAAGAACAGATGCTGAAGTTTATGGGAGCAAATACAAGATTGACTCCTTTGCAGGCTAAAGAGCTTCTTGAGGTCTGTCACATTCTAATTACACAGTGCTACTTTACATTTGTCTCCTTGCTGTGTTGAAACTTTGTAACTGTCATTTCAGGATGAGGAGCTTGGTTTTGCCTACATAAGTCAGCGTGAAGCTTGCCCATCCCTGTATGCAATCTAACCACGTACATCTATTTCAACCCTTCATCTCCCTTCTTCCTTGCATCGATAGATATCTCCATCATGCCTGTTTTATCCTGTCCATGATTTTTTTGTGTTCCATTTTGCAGATATTCATTGATTGGGCTGAGGGAGCACATAAAGAAACGTCCCCCTCTGGCAACAACTGAAAAGGTTCAACAATTTGTGAAGGTGGGTCATGTTGTATATCACTATATTGATTGGCATATTTGTTTATCCGTACATCCAGACAGTCCTCTTCTCTTCTCTAAGAACACTTTGTTAGGTAGCATTTTATGCTAATAAATTTCTGTTTGCAATACCCTTTAAACATACAGTGATTTAACATTTTTGGAAGGAGCTTGTTTTGCTCTTGTTCTGTTTTTTGTTGTAGTTGTTTTCTAAGATAATTAGAGATGGATGAAGGAAGTTGCAAAGATGAGAGGGAAAAAAGAAGAAAGAAATGTTTTGAGATGAAGTGACAATTCATTACTTATTTCACTAGCTTACATCACACACACACACACACAAAAGAAAAAAGTATAAAATTACTTTACTACCCTTGACTTCACAGTATAAATAATAAATGTTCCTAACAACACTCCCCCTCAAAGCAAACCCAAATGGTTTTTGGTGGGACAATATAGGAACAAGTTCTTGTAGGAACTCCATTGGAGTTCTGAACTTAAGAACTCTTAGTGGCATCAAGATATGTTGCTCCAATAACTGCATCTCCCTGGTAGGTTTTGGGCAAATTCCTTGTGAACATTAGAGATCTGGCAGATTGTAGTAAGTGCTTATTCTTTCGCTCGGCTAAACCATTCTGATTTGATGTATTTACACAACTAGTCTGATGCAGAATTCCATATTCCAGCATATAGCTTTGAAAACCTCCTCCTATGTACTTTGTACCATTATCACTCCTTAACATCTAAAATTTAGCATTAAACTATGTAGAGATCTTGTTATGAAACCTCATAAAGCAAGAGAACACTTCACTTTTATTATGTATCAAATAAACCTAATTAGTACAACTATAACAATCAATAAAAGTAACAAACCACCTATAACCAGATAACAAAACAGCTGGACTAGGACCCTAAACATCTGAGTGAAATAGCATAAAATGTTTACTACTATTATTAGTTGAGGAATAAGTAGCACATGTATTCTTAGCTAATTCACACGCATCACACTATAAGGTTTTTGTAGTAGATTGCTTAGATAATGCTGGAAAAAGCTTTCTTGGAACTACGAAGGATGAATGCCTTATTTGATTATGCCATAAAAGTAATTCTTGATCGACTTCTTTAAAGATGGTCACCAGCCCATGTTTGAACTCACTTGTGTTTCCTGAACCAACAAAACCAACTTCTAGCAAATATAAGCCATCATCCACCCTACCATAGCCAATCACTTTCTTTGTCTTTAGTTACTTGAACACATAATGAGTAGAGTAGAATGAGATTTTACACTCTAAATCTTTAGTTATTTTACTAATAGATGGAAGATTAAAAGAGAACTTGGAAGCATGAAAAACTGAGGTTAAAGATAAATTTGGGAACCATCAACTATACGAACTTGATAAACTTGGGAACCATCAACTATATGAACTTTTATCTTTACCTAAGAAAAGATTGTAAGATGAAATTTTTTTTGAAGACTGAGTCATGTGATCATTACCTTCTGAATCTATCACCTAATGATCAGAATAAAAAATGTTGGAAGAATTAAAAGCTATCATTAGTGTACCTACATGTGCAAACTTGGATGAAGAGGAAGGATCAAGCTTGGCTATTAGATGCCTAAGCATCTAAATGTTTATCTTGGACAAATTTGGGGGGTTTAATTGGCTATCAAGAATTGAACTCTCAATTATCTTTGGTTATCTCTAACACAAGTGTTTGTGTTCTAGGAAAACCTATTCTTTTCCCACCTTGTTCTTTTAAAGGACATCCATGTTACTGTCCACAGTAATCACACTTCATTTGTGCTTTGTCAGCGAACCTTGGTTCACTAAGACTTGTAAATCCCCTAATAAAGTTATTTTGATTGGAGTCAGGAATCATGGTTGATCTCGAATGAGTCAACATTGCATTTCTCCTAGTTTCCTTTTGTTGAACATGAGAATATGTCTGCCTCAAGGAAGGGAAAGGGTCTCTCCCCAAAACCTGAACTCTAATATGGTCATATTCAATGTTTAGCCCAACTAGGAAGTCATAGACATATTCCTTGTCAATTGAAACTTTATTGCATCACTTGGACAATATGCCTGGAATCATGGTAGAAGCCTCACTCTTGCTACAAACTACTTAGTATTGCAAAGTATTAGGCTACAAACATGTCATGTTGCTTGGTATCATGAACCTTTTTTCGTATCTCATAAGCCTGAGCATCATTATCCAATTGTGAGTACGTCTGGCTGGTAGCATTCCATATTTTTGAAGCAAAATCTAATAAAAAGATAACCACGAGCAATCAAAGGTTGCATGGAGTTGATGAGCTAGGACATGACTAGAGAATCTCTAGCTATTGGTCTCTTCTCTTCTCCTGTGATGTACCCATACTATCCACGTCCCTTGATAAACAACAAACAAGATCAGGACCAAGCTAGATAATTATTTTCATCTAGTTTGAAATGGCTGATTTAGAGGGTAGAATTCTCATTCACAGCTCCAAACTGACTCCCACTACTATCACCAGAGGCAAGACTGATTTTATCAACTGAATTCTTCTGTCATATTCACAACACTACCAAGAACTATATATCTGATGACCACAAGAACCTAATTAGTCACTAACTGATAACCATTTTATATGAAATTGACAGCTCAAACAACAACAATTCTTGGTGAGACATTAGGGCTTTTGTTCATGAAGTCAAGAACTCACTAGATTTGTTTGTTGTGCTTTGATACCAAGTTGTTTTCTAGAGATGGATGAAGTTGGAAAGATGGGAGGGAAAAAAAAGAAGAAAAAGGTTTTGAAGTGACAGTTTAATTACAGCCTATACTTTTCTTCCTGAACAAAAGTGGTGTTTATTTTGGTGTGTAACTTTTCAATTGTGTTTTTCTGAATAGGCTCGGGGGAGAGAAGCAATTGTTACTGGGTTTTATCATGAAGGCTATGAGGAGCCTCTTTTAATGCTTATGAAAAGAAGAGGTGTTCATTCTGGTTTGGTAGTGAAGGTATGGACTATGCATTTGCCATTGAACTCATAGGTTTCCCAAACATTTACCTTAATAAATCTGTCTTAAGAGAGACTTTTGATTTGAAAACAAGTACAGTTTATCTTTGGAGAAATCATCAACTCAGTAATCGAAAGGAACTACTTGTTGTGCTTTCTCACTGTGGGGTGTTTAATTTAGGGCGAGGAAGGGGCCCTCTCAATGACAACAAAATTCCGATCTGCGAATGCATCAAAAGGACTTCCTGTGAACTACTGTTCAGGCTTCCGTTCATTGAGCATGGATTCTGCTTTTGAACTTGATGGTATTTGTTAATATGTCTTTCTTACTTCCTATGAATGATTGTGGTCTTGTTAGTTTGTTCACGTCCTCATTTATATACAGTCTCATAATAGGATGTGTTTGCTTTGGTTGCACACACAAGAAAAAGAACTAATGCCCCACTCAAATATCTTGACTGAAATACCTGTAATATTTTCCATAGAAATAGTGTTTTTACTTATTTATATTTGACCTTCAAGTTTTGGTGATGATGATGTGGCTAAGATAATAACTAATGCCGTGATCTTAGCAAGTGCTCATGTCAATCTTCAAGCATTAAAATTGAAGCCTTTACGTATCATTTTTCAGGGGTGTCACGTCAGAATTTCAAAACTGAAGTTAATGCCAAGGACTTCGGTTTCGAACCCACTGATACTCCAAGAACTGATAGATCGGTAAGTTAAGTTTGTGATTATTTTCTTCTATCTTCTTTGGTTGTCTTATCCTCCGAGATTGTGATTGATGGTATTGCTAATGCACGCTGCTTTGTCCAGGAGAGCATTGTTTAAAACCATTGCTCTTTTTTTCACCAGAGGAAGAACTGGATGGTTAAAGGGATTTCACTAATCATGTCTCATGAGAACTATTTATTTATGGATTACAAATTTCTTTAAAAACCCACAAAAAGAAAAGAGTTTACATTCTCTCACACACAGGCTGTATGCGAGAAAATACCTAAATTATAACATACGAACCATGTAGCCTTTGGGTACTGTTTTCGAGTGCAGATCTTTTTTATTTTGCTTTCTGCTTTCAAGTATTTATGATGTCTTTACTTTAGGAAAAGAATTGCATCAGTTCAGGTTTTGTGATCCTATATGTGTCTCTCTCTCTCGCTCTCTCTACGTGTATAGAGAGAGAGTCTACCCACCAAACCGGTCCTTGACATGGCGATCCAATTCCTGCCGCTGCAGCACTGAATCAAACTAACAAATCCTCATTTCAAGTGCAACAAACGAAACGTCACCGCACTGATGCATGCTGGCTTTTCTCTCTTCCAAACTCCTGTAGCCTTTTTTCCCCGTTCTCACAAGCCTTGCATTATGATACATTTTGTTTTTGTTTTTTTTGTTTTTTTTTCTGACATTAGGTCGCCAAGAATATAGAGTTGGGTTTAGGAGCTCTCCATGGCCAGAAAGGACCAGCATATGATCGAATTGTCTTAAATGCTGGAATGGTGGATCACCTGCTAGGATGTGATGGTGCAGAAGATGTATCTACAGCACTGGATAGAGCCAGGGAGGCCATTGATAGTGGTAAAGCTCTTAAAAAGCTGTTAAATTACATAAAGGTCTCGCAGAAAATGAGGTGAAAGATGACCAGCTGGTGCATCTGATGAAGATGGGAAAGCAATAATTACAGGATTTCTTGTTTCCTTGCGTTTTTCCCTTCTTCTATCTTGACCTTGTTATTTTCTTTTCTTTTCCTTTTACTTCATATATCTTTCCCTTGTATAAACCTTGCTGTGGCCAGAGGAAAACAAAGCATGCTTCTGGTATAAACTGGTCATGTCACCCAAGCATATTTCTTTTTTTTTTTTTCTTTTTTTCTTGTAACATGAACATCGGATTAAATAAAGTTGTATTTTTGGTGTTCTTACTCGGTGATGGGAAATTACAACTCTCTGGAAAAATGATTTATCATGGTAGTTATGAAACTTGAAAATTTTTATGGCGCTTAAAGAATACAATTATAGAATCATAGGTAGCATGTTAATTATTTTTTTATTTAATTTTTTTATGAAAGAAATAGATATATGAAAGAGAGAAAATTAAATCTATGACTAATATAAAGTAGTGAAAATATATAAATCTAAATATATTTTTTTACTAGTGTTTGTTTTTTCTAATACAAAAAAATATATTTATAAAAAAACTAATAAAATAACACGTGTAAACACAGTAAAATTATTCAATAAAACTAAAGCAACATCCTTATTGCATTCTTAACTCAGCTCAAAAGGCTAAAAACAGTGCTCCTCTAGAAATAACATAAGTGTTCCCCATTGCAGACTTGACTTTTCCCTCCAAAGTCCAAACATAAAATTTGAAGGACTGATGGTGATCAACTAGTGAAATTTACAAATTGCTTATTGAGGTGAGAATCCTACTTAAAATCTTTATTCTGCCTGGAAGTTCCTGTTCTCATAGTTTTTCAAAGACCAAAAACTTGACATCAATCCCGCATGTCAAGATGAATGAAACATTAGTAAAACTGGAGGAGAAAAAAGAATTGAAAAATGAAAAGAGAAAAGAGGTGAGAACAAAATCGAAACTCTCATTATCAGCAGTTCTCACTGCTTTGACACCATCAAGATGATTCGGGGGGAATTAGAACAACTGCCCGATTTGAAGGGCGGCTGCTATTGAACCGGAAAGACTAAGAACTTCAAATGGCGGTTTGTTCATCACTTCCTTCACTGTCAATGGGCATGAGTCTGTAATCCAGAAGTAGGTTAGTCCTGCCCCTGGGTGGCCTGTGTAAAAACAAGAGAAACAGTCGAAAAGGGAAGAGGAAAAAGCATAGCGAGAAGGATTACAAGATCAAATTTGGAGGAAATGTCATTTGATCAGTTCCATCTCAATTCTCAAAAGCAAACGGGAAGGATACACAAGTTCAAAGGCACCAACGAAATTAGAAAGGCAAATCGCCATGAAAGTTAGTTAGAATGGTATTTCGGAAAAGAAAAATCCTACTTAGTTCTTACGAAGGTTTCTCACATCATGATGGGTTGCATCAGTGTCAGTAGCCCAAACCCACCTGCAATTTGGTGTGTCCTGGACTGGTATAATGCAGTGCCGAATGGTGCTACAAAGATTACACACAAAATTTCTGCTTGTGTAAAATTTACCCTTTGAAAACCCACATGCTTATTGTCTATAGAAAGATGATGATGCATAAGATACAAGTTCTTAATGGAGAAATTGTCAAAAGAACCAAGCCACATCGGCTTTATGGCAACACTCCAGTGCTACTGCCCCAAGAGACGTGCAAATTTGGACTAGCATCCCCATAGCATCAGAAAGAGGACCTCATCTTCGGTTAAATAATCTCAGAGTAGTGGCAATTGGACCCGGAATCAATTAAAAGAAGTTTCATTTACATACACAAGGAGGACGGTTTGGTTACTGTTTCAGTGTTTCAGAATTGAAAGGTCAGAGACAAGTAAAGACATAAATATATTTAATTAAAGAGGTAAAATTATAAATATAAAAATAAAGCAACATTAGCATGAATTTTTATACTAAAGAAAATGTTTCCAAAGACAATAATTGTAGTTTTTTATTTTTAAAATATCATTATAAAAAAAATCTCGATTCTAAAATTGTTCAACTAAGACAAGTAAAAATAAAAATAATTACCATTATAATTTTAAAATCCAACTCGGGGAATGATCTGGACTAAGGCATGAGTTATAGTTTGAGGTGGCAAACCTGGATTGATCCAAGTTAACATAAAAATAATTATGATTATTATCTTAATTTTAAAATTCGACTTAGGGATCCACCCAAGATAACGTTTGGGGCACATGTTGGCTTGAATAAACCCAGGTTGACCCAAGCCAACATATAAATAAAAATAGCTATTATCGTAATTTAAAAACCCAACTTGAAAGTCAATTTGAGGCAAGGCCCGAGTCATAGATTAACCTGAGTCAAACCAAGCTAGCGTAAGAATAAAAAAGATTATTATCATAGTTTTAAAATTCGACTTGAGAGTCGATTCAAGGCAAGAATTGGATCACGGATCAAGAGAGTCAACTCAGGTTGACTCAAGTTAATATATAAATAAAAGTGGTTATTATCATAATTTTAAAACTCGATATAAAAATCAATTCAGGGCAAGGCCTGAGTCATGAGTCGAGGTTGACCCAATTTTTTTATTAAAAAAAATTAAAGCAACCTTGTTTTGACCAGAAAAATATTTCAAAAAAAAATCAAGATTTTTTACCTGTGTTTTATCTTGGGTTAACCAGAACTTTAAACAAGGTCGATCGGGTTTATTCTTTATTTTTCCTTAAACTCAAACCAGTCCAGATCTTGAGTCCAAGCTCAACCCACTATGCTAATCCTGGTTTTATAATTAGAATTATTATAATATTATTAATTTCAACACTCAATATAAACTAAAGTAAAAAAATATATTTAATCAATTTTTTTTTCCACCATAACCAAACACAATATAAAGCCAATTGCACTGTTTTGTACATTATTACCAACTATAATTTTGTTCTTGTCTCATTTTTGTCTTGTCTTCATGTCTCTTGTTTTTTTTTTTTTTTTATCTTAGGACAATAACCGAATACCACCTTACAAATACTCTAAATGATGTGGGAAAATATTGTTCCCTCATGCACTATGGTCTAAGGGGACTCACATTGCTCATAAGTTTTTCTTTCATCCCTTTTTCCTTTCAAGCTTGCCCATTGAAGGCTAATTTGACAAAAATTATTAAGGAAAAACAGAAGACTTGGGAAGATGGGTGGTGTTTAATTTTTTTGTGAAATGTTCACCTTAGTTCTAATTCTTTACTAATTATAAGAATTGGGTCCCTCTACTTTTTCAAATTCAAAACAAAAAATTGATCCAAAACTTTTTTTTTTAATCTCTGATTTGAGAGGAAAGATATAACGTTGCTAAATTCCAGTAGTAGAAAGAGAGAAATGATGTTAACACTGATTTTGGCCATCAAAACAGCTAATCTATGTCAAATGGTTTTATATATGGTTTCATATGATAAATGAAGTTCTACTTAAGTTTTTTTTTACCTTGAAAGTGCCTAAAAAATATATCTATACTTGGGAAGATTTTTTGTTTTCAGTTGATTTCCAGTTTTAAGATGGGTTTTCGCGTTTTTTTACAGCTATGAATTGATTTAACAAGGTTTCTAAGATGGTTTTGGTAAAAAATGGATTGAAAAATAAATTTTTAGATTTAAAAACATTCAGCCTTGATTATCCAAATACCACAATAGCAGGAATCTAGAAAAAATCAAACAATGTGTTGTCCGACTAATTTTTCAAAAACACTTGGGGTGAGCGACATCGATCACCTCATCTGCCAGGAAAAAAAAAGAGGCTCAAGCACACATGCCCTTACTAAATGGGTCAAATACATTAGCATAGCTGGCCAATCCCAGCAACACCTAATTTTTTCCTCTCTTTTTTTATGTTTTTTTTTTAATTTATCCCTTTTTTATGTCTTTTTTCAAAATAAATTGAGTTGAGATTTAAATTAGTACCCCTCCTCTCTTTTATTTTTTTTATTTAAACTCTCTTAAATAGTGATTATTTTTAATTATTTTATATGCATTTAATTTTTTGAGTAGATTATTCTAATTCATCTACAATTTTTTTCTTTTTATGTTTTATATAAATAAAAAATATTTATTTTTTTATAATATTTCTATCATTTATGACCTTCCATAATATTTTTTTTTCTTTTATTTTATCCAATCAATTTCATGTATGTCTATTTCTATTATTATTTAATTAAACAAAAATTAAATTTTGGTAAACAAAGTCATTAAACACAACTAAGTCAAAGTTTGTATTGCAAGGTCCAATATCTTTATTTATATATATCTCTCAATTTTTCCATTTTCTTCTTCATTTATCGTTAATGACTATTTTTTTATATTTATTAACATATATATTTCTTCTTCATATATATTTTTTATATATAGGTATGCATAAGCTTTTCGATTTACATTTAAAGTTTTTTTTATGTATAGGAACATTTGGGAAAAGCCTGCATGTCTAATTTTTTTGGTACAAAAACAATATCTAACCCACAACAAAGCAAGTGTCAAGCACCAAATGGCTAATATGCATACATACATACATACATACATACATACATATATATATATATACATACATACATACATACATACATACATACATACATACATACATACATACATACATACATACATACATACATACATACATACATACATACATACATACATACATACATACATACATATATATATATATATATATATATATATAAAGCAAAAATCAATTATGAGAAGATATAGCAATATATTATAAGATTTTTTTTTTAAAAAAAAAGGTTATTTTGAGAACACTGGTATGTTTATTAAATTTAAAATGAAGATCTACCATTTCCAGTTTCATTGCCACAAGAAAAAGGTTACCGTGGAAAAATAATTTTGTTTTCATTTTCAACATATCTATAAAACATCATGTCAGCTTGCCAACAAAAGGAAAAGGAAAAAACATGTCAGTAAAATTTGAAATATAAATGACTATATGCATGCTGTACCTCCATTATCAGATTCAAAGCGTTCCCACGATCTATTTGGAAAAATCCCATGCGTCACGTAGGCACTTATTTTTGCCGCTCCATGGTTAGCCAATATTTTCTACAATACATGAGGACCATGAGAATGGATCATTAAGTATTCTCTTTGAAGCTATATATGCAACAATAAATGAAAAAAAAAAGGTATGAAACATACTTTTTAGAGTGCTGGGGACTGTGCACTGAACTTTAAAACAAAATGCAAGATATGATTAGGTAAAATTGTTGATCACCCTAAGAATTCTCATGACCATCCAAACCCGAGTTCATATAAATTCATTTTCCAGTTTAATCCATATGAATAAAGAGGTTAAATTTTAGATATAAAATGATACTTTATATCTACTCATATTTGTAGGTTTAAGAAAATTCAAAAACTGTGTTGTAAGCAATATTCCAAACCTGAAATTGAATCTTCATGGGATATTAAATGCAATTAAAGATCTTAAGCATCTAATAATAGAACTAAAAAGTGCATAAATAAACTCGATGATCTGTTAAAAGCAATATCTCAACCAACACACACATTTCAGAACTTAGTAGAGATGTTAGAAGATCTTTTCAGTTTCAAGACATAATAGAAATATCAAGAGATGTTTCTTCAATTTACCAACACCTGATGGAAAAATGTAAAAAATGCAATACGTTTATATGCTTTTTAAAGGATTCAAGAACACCCCGTCATAGCATGTCAGTACATATAGATGCAGCCGTAGAAAAAGAAGTTTCTGAATTACCTCATTTGATGTTCAGTTCTAAATATTTTAGTCTTTTTGGTAAACCTAATCTATTTACTTGGAAATCTTATTATTGTTTAAGACTTTTTTATTTAATTAAGAAATTAGGATATTAATTAAGAGGTTTCTCTTATGTGTGTTATCCTTTTTCCTGTTTGGATTTCTATTTTCTATTTAGTTTGGACCTATTAGGGCTTTTGGTGCCTATAAAAGTAGCAGCTAGTCCATGAAATTCAGGAGAACTTTTGATAATGCAATTGTAAGGATTTTGGACTAATTTTGAAGGCTACACCCTAGGGCACCCTCCCTTCCTCTGTTTTTTAACACTGTAAATTCCTGATTTCCTGTAAAAAAAATCCTTGATCTCCAATCGTGGCTCACCACAGATCCTTTGGGTTGCAAATTTAAATGAAGAGAATACTAAAATGAAGAGAGTGTGAAACAAAGCAGCTGATGAAAATCAACATGGAGAAAAGGGAATTATGTAAAAATATTATGTACCTGACATTCTACCAAAGTGCCACCCGACTGAACCAAATCATCAACGATAACGACATGACGTCCTCGAGGGTCTCCCTCCTTGATACGCACTATTCTTTGGTCACCTTCCCGAACTTTAGCACAAATGATCTACATATCGGAGGGAAAAAATTATGCACGCAGCTCAATGCACATTAAAAGCAAGCATGATGAAATAAGAAAGTGAAAGACATGAGAATCACTGACATAAAGATGGTGCGATGCAGTTGAATAGTACTTAGATGCACACCTTAAGCTGATATTGCTTGTAAAATGTATAAGATTCGATTAAATGATTCATATATTATCATCTCTAGAGATAAAGGAAATGGAGCGTGCCCATCCATGTTAATTATTTTCCACACAAGTTCTCCAAAAACATTTACTACAAAAACATGCTCAGCCCAATATAACTCTGAAAACTAAGCCACTGCTTGTCGACAGTTCAGTATGTCTAATCTGTAATAGCAGTGTTTCTTTTACATGGTTTTGACTCAGTCAGTGGTTTGGGCCTGACTCCATTTGTTCGGTTCGCTGAGCTTACCCACAGTTGGAAAGTGCTACAGAAGCTTATACAGTTAAGATAAAGCAGTAGCTACAATTTCAAGATTCTTGGTGAACTCCAGTGGCATTATTTTAGGTTGTATAGTAGAATTCTTTATGTCGTTATGGACGTTCAAAAACTAAGTTCCAGTATACACCTACTTTATGGAGCTCCTTTATGGGGAACAAATGCAAGAGAGGGGTGTGCATTCTTACATGAATTCTCACGTTTATTACTGAGCAAAAGTGGATCTTGATTTTCAACAAGAACGTAAGATGCCCAAAGATTTCTACCAAGAAAAGCAACCAGTTTCCAAATTCCAGTTCCATCGATCAATTATTATGGAGCAAATAACGAAAACAGACAAGGAGAAGCGACATGGATATCTATGCTGACACTCGTTTGGATGCCCAGATGTATGAGAAACACAATCATGAGCAAATCATAGTGTTTGAGTAACACAGACAAGGTATTACCGTAGGGAAATGTTGCAGTTGTTTATGAAATCGTTTCCATGCACCATCATCAGGAAAAGCAATTGCTATCTGAAAAGTGATAAAAATAGCATACACACCCTCAGAATGATGATTACTTTAAATAAATAAATAACCAGAAAAAACATCAAAGTCTTACTTTGTCAGAATCAGGGAGCTCCTGAAGCCTATTTTTAAGCAAAGGTATTCCACTCTCAAAGCATGGTAAAATATTATCTCCGAAGTAAAACCTCTCCTAATTAGATGCAATAATAAAACAAGAAAAGCAGATTAATTGAGTCACAAAATTAACTCTTTCAAAAAAAGAAAGAAAGAATCGGAGCTTATTGACTTGCTAACAAACAATAGCAGCAGCAGCAGCAGCAGCAATGCCTGGGGCAGGCTGTGTAAATCCTTTGGCCTCGATCAAAAGCCAAATCCTAGCTGACTAAAACAAACTCAAGAGAAAGGGAAGGAAAGGAACCTGAAGAGCATGGATATCAAAAGTGACCAAGCTAGTAGGACCTCCCCTGGAAGTTGGTATATGGGACAAGATCCTAGCAAGAGTGAAGGCAGTGGCAACATCTCCTTCGTCCTCCATACGCTCCGAGGTTCCAGTGGGAAAAAAGGGAAGGACGAGGGTGAAGGAAGAAATGAACAATTTGGGCAAAGCATATATAATTGAAAGCTGCTCAAATATTACTTTGGGGGAACTAAAAGAAGCCAGAAAGGCTACATGCTGACCCCTAATTCCTTGTGCATTTGGTATAAATAAATTCGGAAACCCATCATCAAATGTCCTGTAAAAGCAATTAATAACAATAATAATAATAATAAGAAGAAGAATAATAACAGAATTTATCAAACGATAAACAAAAAAAAAAGGTGGCAAAATGACCTCCAGGAGATGGAGCGGAGCTCAATTGAATCGGACTCGGCAGCGATTCGTTGAGCTAAGGGTTTGGTTTCAGCGCAGTAGAAAAGGCAAACCTTTTTGGAAGGAGAGGACTCCGATGAGGAGGAGGAAGCGGAGGGAATTGAAAAGGAGGAAGGAGAAGGAGAAGAGTTTTGGATCGAGTGAAGATGGTGATTGGTTGCTGCAGATACATACCCAGCACTCCAATTTTGGGCGTCGCACCTAATCCTAATACTAATAGTAGTCTGTGATTTGGTTTTGAAGAGGAGAGAAGGGAGTTGGGGACATTTGTTGTTATAGATGTAACTATAGTAAGAAAGATTTTTGCGTGGGGCGGTGGAGGAGGAGGAGGATTGGAGTGGTGGTGTTGCCGCCATATCTCAGTTATTGATTTTATTTTACGTTGAATTGGTCTCTCAAATTTCAGACATGGTTAGTTAAAAGCTAGTTAGATTCTCTGTCTCTGCTCTCTCCTCTCTCCACCTACTACAGTGTCCCGCTGATGCTATTCTGTGCTGGCCTTTTTTTATCTTTACTTTTAAAATCATGGGCCTTTTTTATCTGTACTTTTAAAATCATGGACTCCTCCGCGTACCCATTTTATGTTTAAAATTTATTTTTATGTTTTTATATTTTTTTAATAATACTGTGCTAATATTAAATATATTATTTTAATATATTTTTAATAATACTGTGCTAATTTTATATTTTTAAAATCATTATATCAAAACGGTATAAAACATATTAAAAAAAATTAATTTTAAAAAAAATTAAAAAAAACATAATTTATTTTTATATAATTATTTATCAAATATTATAAATTTTTTACTAATAATTTTTTTGTGTGGAAAAAAATTAAAGATAAAAAAGGGATTTTTAAACCAAAATAAGCGGTTGAAATCACAAGATAAGCAGCTTAAAAAAAAGATTATCTCATCTGAGGAGTTATCAGAATATATATGCATTATATTTTACTTTCCTAATCAATATTTTAGGAGCTTGTAGCTTAACTAGCATTTACACAATATCTTCTCTCCAGAAGTTCTTGGTTTCAAATCTCTTTTTTGTTAAATAAAGAAGAAGAAATCTCTTGTCGTGAGACTTTTTTTAAGAATAAATTTTTAGCTGGGAAAAAATCCATTAAAAAGAGTAGCTACTCGTAAATGTAGGCCCATAGGCCTCTATCGGGCCCATAGGCCTCTATCAGGCCTAGTTTATACTGGTCCAGATTCTATACCGGGCTCAAACTACTCTGACAGCCCACCTAAACAGGAGAGTAGCCCGACGCATCCCATGGAAGGCCTCGCCCAACTCCTCCTCGTCCAGGTGTTCTTCTCTGACTTTTTCCTTGCATGCCTACAATTTGGCCATGAACTCTATAATTTATCGCTTGTTGGTTGGAATTATGTTCGCCTTTGCACTAATTCAAAGGCTGGAAGGCTTACTTGCTTTTCATGTTGTCCTTGTTAGGCCTTTAAGCACCCCGTGATCAAATTATTTATATTATCACCACATTACTCTGATTAATCCATTAATTATGCATTAAATCCAAGTGAAATTTGATCTGATTTTCACTCAATTTGTCTCGAGTTTAATTAAATGGCATCACAAATTTTATTTGGTTAATATTGTGATAATAATTGTTTTTTTAATTTTTTTTAATTTAAAAATATATTAAAAAAATATTTTTTAAAATTTATTTTTAATGTTAATATGTAAAAACGATATAAAAAATTAAATGAATTTAAAATAAAATAATTTTTTTAAAATACAAAAATATAAATAAAATGAACAATTCTATCTTGAACCTCAATGAGTTCCAACCCATCAACTTGTTAAAAAAAAATGTGCAAAATATCAATCATATCCACAAGAAAGAGTTCAATCAAGGAATAAATATGAACCACTACAGGAGTCGAGAGGGACCACTACTCAGAGAGGGTGTATATAAAAACGTCTAAACCGATTTTAAAAAAAAAAAATCTGATTTTTTAATTTTTTTTTTAATATTTTTAGATTGTTTTGATGAGTTGGTATTAAAAATAAATTTTAAAAAATAAAAAAAATATTATTTTTATATATTTTTATATAAAAACTACTTCACTACTACTTCAGTATACCATACACTCTCTAACTCGTGCCAAAATAAAACAAAGAGATATAACAACAAAAGACTGTCTCATTACTTATCTACCAAGAACTCATAGTTCGAAGCTACACCACACTTGTTGAATCCTGATAACTTTATCCCTTCGTGTTAAATAAAATAAAAAATGAAGTCGAAAATAATCCAAATTTCAGTGGCTCTGGTGCTTGCCAATGTTATGTGTATGTGCTGCCACATGGTTGTAAATATATATAAATATCCTCACACCCAATTTATTTGGCACAAAATTGGAAAATTCTTCCCTTGTGCGTGCAGCACAGCTCCAGCAGAAAACATACACGTCAGTCTTCCCATCCCAAGCAGCCAGTGTGACAGACAGGTAATTTCACTTCACTAAACTATTTGATCTTTTTGTTTTTTTTAATCTCTTGAAGGAAAATCTATTTGGAAATGAATTCAATCGTTGGCCCATGTCACCTCTTAGATTCATTTATTTGTTGCTTGATTATTTTTGTTTAGCAAAACAACAGTGTGCTTCTTTTGGAGTTTTGCCCAGTTTCAGTGCTTCGCATGCGTCACCATTGTAAGGTTATCACAATCCCGTAGTTATCATTGTTGGAGTCCAGGATACTGGACAGCCATTTCATGTCACCAACCGAAGCTTCTAGGAGATTGATCACTTTCCGAAAATCGGTGGCGCTGATGATGGTGACTACACGGCGGAAGACGTTACGGCGCTTGCACTTGCGTACAAGGGTTAAAGCGCGCTCCATGTTCTTGCAGACCTCCGCGACTATGCGGCGAATGGGACGCTCGTAGAAGGATTGGCCAGAGCGGACCTGCGCACGCAGCTTCTCGACGATGGTGTCAACGTGATCTCCCACGTGGATGCACTCGGCCTTGAAGGACTCGGCCTCGTCGACGGCGGAGCGAACCCGTTCTGCTAGTAGGATCGCACAGGCGAGTTCCTCTTCGATTCGTTTCTCTTCAGCCATAAATAAACAGTGACTCAGTAACTGAGTCGTGGAATCGAATTTGGTGGCGTTTGTTTGGTTGATTGCCTCACCTGAATTGAATAACTATCTCTTCTTTGGATGGGAGCTGGTGGTGGTGTGGGTTGGGGACGAAGACCATGATGACTGGCCTCTCTCTTTTCTTAACGTTTTCAGCTGTTTGGTTTGTCTTTTGAGTAAATTATAACTCGGTCCCTATACTTTAATATAAATAATTAATTAGTACTTACAATGTCAGAATATGTACTTACTATTCTTGAAACTATTTATGAGAATATTTCATTTCATTTTTTTTCAAAAAATATAATAAATAAAATAACATATGTAAAATTTATCACAAAATAAACTTTGAAACAAAACGAAAAGCAACTACATTGGGATGATCAATGCTGATTGAGGGACGTTTTCATTATTAATAATACTATAGGGATTAATTAATTAATTATGATAAATAACATGGACTAATCTGTAATTAACGCCTTTTGGGTTCTTAAGCTGAGTTGGTTTATTCTTTAGTCGCATGTTTGTGTCCTTGTTCTTTTAGGTCTTCTTGGGAATTGTGTAAGGAGATGGTGTTGGAAAGCGCGTGGACTGAGATGCTGAGAGGGAGAGAAACGGGTCAAAAGAGTCTTTTGATAGAACCGTCGTCGTTTGTGTCGTCGAACTGACCATTTGTCATTTGAAGGAAGGAAGTGAAAGTGTAATGGCAGTTGCTTGGGAGGAGCGTGGAAAAGGAAAGGGGAGTTTCTTCTTTTATTTACAACGTATTTATCCCTTTTATTTTATTTATTTTTTAAGTTACTACTGTTACTATTACAAATGTTTTGTAGGATTTGTTGTTTTTAAAGTGTTTTTTTATTTAAAAATATATTAAAATAATTTAAAAATATTAATTTAAAATAAAAAATTTAAATATTTTTAAAAACGTTTTTAAAATACAAAACAAATAGGAAATACTTGGAGAGATTAATTTGTAAAATGTTTTTAAAAGTATTTTAATTTAATAATATATTAAAATAATATTTTTAATATAATAGAATTAAAAAAATAAAAAAATTAATTTAAAAATTTTTTTTTTTTGTCCTATGGTGTTTTCCTTTCTTACATTTGTAGTCATAACTCGAAAAAAAAGGAGAAAATAGGTTAAAGAATTGCTTCTTCTTTAACTTGGTGCCAAATCTTTTCAACTAGACCTATATAAAAAGAGTTTCCCTACTCGAGGGATTATGTTAGGGCCATCTTATCAAATAATTCTAACTGTTGGGCGAGACGGCAAGCCAGTTTTGGTGACCTTTGAGACATAGTAAATATCGATGGCCCCAGACACCTTTTAACTCCAAAGCTAGCTTTAGTTAGTTGTTTAGTAGCTAGTTTATTCTGAACTAAACTCAAAAAAAGACAATGTGCTGCCTTTGATTTTTCCTATGAATGGAACAATCTTAGGTTGAGAATTAGGAAATAATCCTAGGATGCGCGTAATAGCAAGAGCAAGTTAAATACATCTAAACTACCCTCCCTCCTGCTGA